GTCTGTGAATGGACCCCTCCTTGCCCACCACATTAAGACTCAAAGGTGGTGATTCTCCATGAGGGCCTCTGAATGGCCTCCCATTGGAGGTGAGATTGGCGCCAATGGCTGTAGATATTTAAAATACTGGACAACATAATTGTTGTTAACTGCCAAGAACTATAAGATGTAGCAGTATATAAGATTAATGATGAACATTCTTTGCCATTTCCATTTTTATAGTTCAAAGAAATAGAATATAAGTGTATTCATCTTTCCCATAACACTTGCAGTACACTGCCATTATTTAACTACTTAATTTTTTTTATATATTATAACTCTCATAAAACAGTTATTTAACTCTTCTTATTTTCATCCAGCTGTGATTATTTAATCCACTTTAGTTCTTTTTTAAGTAAATCAGGAACTTAAGAAATGCCAGTGAGCGATATAGCTCATTTATGCAGAGTGGCACTTTTACAATACAGAGATACCGGGGCTCCTTGCATCTGCCTTATCTAAACAGTGCCTGTTTAAGTTTGTCATGGTAAGTGAAACCCTAGCTTAGTGATTTGAAAAAGTCATACATCTAGCTTAGCATCATCCCTTTTTATGTTGAGCATTTTATGAAAGAGCTCTGTACTTTAATTCAAAGAGGCAACTTTTTTTCTTTCTTTTTAACAGTAGTTAGTTTTGGCAGAAAGGAAAACACTAGAGCATTTTTTCATCATAGACTATTTTGTTTCTGCAAACTTAAAAAAAGCAAAACGAACATACCAGATACACTATCATACCACATGTGCTGATTTGATGTGAATTGTGTGGTTTTCAATTCTTTTTTTTTTTCTTGAGTTTTGAGGGGCTGCCTGCTTTGGGCTTGCATGTTATACAGTGATTCCCTCCATGTATCCATGATAGCTTTTGAAATCCTAATATACTTTTTTTTAAAATTAATTTTTATTAAAGATTATAATTGCAATAATAAAAAGAAAGAAAGAAAGAAAGAAAGAAAGGAAGAAAGAAAGAAAGAAAGAAAGAAAGAGTGATTCCCTCCATGTATCCATGATAGCTTTTGAAATCCTAATATACTTTTTTTTAAAATTAATTTTTATTAAAGATTATAATTGCAATAATAAAAAGAAAGAAAGAAAGAAAGAAAGAAAGAAAGAAAGAAAGGAAGAAAGAAAGAAAGAAAGAAAGAAAGAAAGAAAGGAAGAAAGAAAGAAAGAAAGAAAGAAAGAAAGAAAGAAAAAGAAAAAATTTAGAGGAAGGAAGGAAAAGAAAAGAATAAAGAAAGAGAAAGAAAAGAAATATA